TCAACTGTGGTAGTAAATGAAAGACTACCTGTACAGCTTAGGGAAGAAATTATTGTAAGTAGAAAAAAATAGGTATGTGTGTTAATTTATGCTTGCTTTCCATCTTTTGGAGTTTCAGTTGTGCACCTCTGTAAACATGGCAATAGAATGCCATCAAAAGAAATCTTGCAACAAAAATGAAATCAAAGTTCCATGTTCCTGCAGCTCTATCCTTAGATGTAACAAAGCACAGCCACACACTTCTGTATGCACACCAGAGGTGGTATTCAACCGGTTCGCACCGGTTCTGGATAACCGATAGCGGTAATTAGGTGTGGGTCACAGAACCAGTAATAACTTCTGGCTGGCCACACCCCTGAACTGGTTCCCTGGTCACCAGTCAATCAGTTGCCCCACCTACTCAATGCCCGCTCGCGCGTGCAGCTCACCCATCCCTGCCACTCACCCCACCCAAACACTCCTCCCTTCCTATGTGGCATGCTGGGCCCTCATGGCTTGCCTAACCTGACTTCCCCAAATGGTGCCTGTGCCCCAACTGAGCAGTCCTGACCTGCCTGCTCATAGGTAAGCCTGTGAGTCGCTCTAGGCCCTTGGCCATCACCCAGGGCCTTTCTGGGCCTCTCCCACCACCACCTGGGACCTTTCTGGGCCTCCCCCCCCCCCCCCGGGGCCTTTCCCGCCCCCCCCCCCACTGCCCGGGGCCTTTCCAGGCCTCTCCTCCACTGCCTGGGGCCTTTCTGTGCCTCCACCCCACCTCCAGGACCTTTCCGGGCAGGAGGAGGCCAAGGTGGGGCGCCATTTTGGGGCCAATCCAGACGGCAGGGGAGTGGCAGCAGTGGAGGCAGTGCGGCTATGGGAAGCAGCCCCAGGAGTTCCTGGCCTCCCTTTCGGGGCACATCCACGCCCCTCTCAGCCCCAGCAGCACAGAGAAAGTGAATGGAAAGCCGTTCACTTTCTCCTTCCCTTTCGGGGCGTCTCTATGCCCCTCTCAGCCCTAGCAGCACGGAGAAAGTGAATGGAAAGCCATTCACTTTCTCCCTCCTTTTCAGGGCATGTTCACACCCCTCTCCGCCCCAGCAGCGCGGAGATAGCGAACTCCTGTGGCTGCTTCCCATAACCGCACTGCCGCCACCACTGCCCCCGCCGCCGCCACTGTTGTGCCCCAAAAGGGAAGCCAGGAATTCCTGGGGCTTCCCATGGCTGCCCCATGCCCGCCCACCCACCACTGCCACCACCTATGTGCTTCGAAAGGGGTGTTCTGATGCTGCTGCTTTCTTCATTGTCCTGCCGCTTGCTGCTCTGGAGTTCGCCCAATAAGATCTTCCCAGAAAAGGTGTGTGTGTGAGATAGAGATAAGGAAGGAAAGGAAGAAAGGAATGTGGGGGAGGAAGGGCAAGAATGAAAGAGCAAGATAGGAAGAAAGAGCAAGAAAGAAAGAGGGAGAAAAAGAAAGAAAGAGGAAAAAAGAAAGATAAAGAAAAAATAGGAAGAAAGAGCAAGAAAGAGGAAGGGAGAGAGAGAGAGAGAGAGAGA